TACAAAAATAACAATATAAAATTAAAATTAATAATATAAAAGAAAAGTTATAAAAGAAAAGAAGTCGCCCTGGCCAGATAAATAAGTAAATATTGTTAACAATTAAAATGACGTTTGAATAAAAAGGTCTTCACCTGGCACCGAAAAACAAATAACGACGGCGCCAGGCGGACCTCTCTGGGGAGCATATTCCATAGATTTTAGTTCATGTTTATAAAACAGCCATTTGCTTCACAGCCTTTGTTTCCATGCAAAACTGAAAAAAAAAAAATTAAAAAAATCTTGGGATTTTGTTTCGTCTTTATTTGGAGTAAAGGATTTATGGGAGCTTTTTTCAACACTTTTTCCTTAACCGCCCCCTCCCAAACTAAAAAGCAAACTGGATCCATAAAGCAGTTAAACAAGGTTCCTACACCTGCCTTATTTGGATTAAATAAATACACTGCTGCTATGCAATATTCACTATTTCAATGGATCTTGTGCTGACTCCTACAATTCTCATAAAATTTCAACCAACCAATATTGAACCACTTCAGAAATTTCACTGTATTATTTTAAAGTGTCAAAGTTCTAAGTCACATGGAATCAAGTTCCCAATTTTCAGAACTGTCTCATCAGTATTAAATAACTGTTAGAACAGGCAAGGTGCTGATTGCAACCCAAGTTTGTGAGATGTGGGAAAACTGGTATCAAGACATTTTCTAAGAATTAGAATTACACACAAATAATTCTGATCAAATTAAATCCAGTATCTTAAATATTTGCCAGCTCTTCAAATAAAGCTCTTTATGCTTTCCTGCATGGAAGAACTCACTGCATATTTTTGCATCTTAGTGTAGCCTCACTGTACAATGATTAGACAGTCCTTTCTTCAGTACTTTTCTCTGGAACATGAATATTTCTGAACAGTGCTCAGTCGGTGTTTGTATTACAGTCGGTGGGTTTAACAGGACAGGAAAGGAAGGGAAGATGAAAATGAAGGGTATTTTCAAAACTGGCACCAAAGATGCTTTAATCTGAAATTTATTTTATTACAGATTTCATATAGCACACTTTTGACAATAGTAACTCAGGACAGCTTACATACTTTAAAGTAAAATAATGCTAAAATTGATGTAAATCATATAAAACAAAAATAGCAAAAGAGACACAGTAAAAGCTGAATTAAACCAGAGCCCATAATATAAACTAAAAATCTAGAGTGAATAAAATGGGTATATGTGCTGCAAAAAAGAAAAAACAATTTGATTCTGCATGCAATGAGTTTCCATGGGGAGACCGTTCCAAAGTAGGGACACCACAACTGAAAATGTGTTGTCACACATTAGCACTGTCTCATTTCTGCAGACATGAGGCCTGGAGAATTCTGAGACTGTGCCACTGAGGAAGATCTTAAAATCATGATGTTTAGTTTGATTATGATGGTCTTTCTTGGCATGTGTCATGCATGATTGCCATTCATGCACAATGGAAAATAAACAAGGAGAAATGTTAAAAATTAAAACACTAACGAAATGCAAGTTGCACATACAAATTAGAGATGCAGAATATGTAAAAGTCTATTTAAACATAGCAGTTATGGGGACAAGTTGCTCAAAGTAATTCAGAAAGGATGGGGTGGGAAGTTTTGAGATTTTGACTGAAAATATTTTATGACATAATTATACAATATTAAAATATTCCCATGTCTTAATTCCTATATTATATTTCTTACATGGAGATAGCTATTAATGTACAAGGACACACACATGTGCAGTTTAGAAGGTTGGACTATGGAATGGAAATTCCAGTTCTAGTCCCCACAGGATGACTTTTGACACATCATTCGTTCCCAGCCTAACTCGCCTCAGAGATGTTGTTGTGAGGATAAAATGGAGAGAAGGAAGACCATATAAGCTGTCTCGGGTTCCTCACAAGGGGAAAAAGTGGGATATAAATGCAATGTAATACGAGAGACATTCTGAACAGCCATTTGTCAATATTTTGTTCTCTTGTTCAGAAACACATACCAGAATGCAGATCAGAAATTTGGGCATTTAAACCATCATCACTACCACGCAGTAGTACACATGTACTTCACTTTATAGAACAAATATTAGCACATACAAAAGGGTTACTAATTTGTAAGTGTAAATAAATATTCTCTTTTGATTTGGAAGTTTTATGTAATTTTAATCCTGATGCCTCAAAAACAAACAGTTCATGCAATTACTTCATTTCCAAGAAGTATCAAGCTGAAAAATGAAAAAGCCTTCTGTTCAGCAGGGAAGTAGAGGGAATGTCAGGTTTCCTCTACAATGGCTCCTACGCATGCTTCAAATTTATTCTGGAAATACTGTTTGGCAGGATGATTCTAAGTGTTTGGTTTCACCTGGACTTTTGTTGTTCCTGCAAAGCCAGACACAAACCACTGTTGGCCTTTCATGCATAGGTGCCAGAACTCACTACAGATCTGCTACTGATGCTTGATCAACAACTTTCCTGAAAGGCAGACTACCTGCCATTGCTGATCTTTCTCTACAGTGTGCATGCCCAGGTGAATACTGGGTAGGGCATAAATTCCCTGTAAGCAACACAGGCTTGTTTTGCATTTCACACCAACTGAGAATGACCTTTTACCACACCTCAGAATCCTTCCAATACAAGGGGTTCCATGCAAAGGTTTACTGCAAGATTAGGGGTCCTTTTGAAAACCACAGCAATAGATGAAATAAAAACTTATTTAACATTAATTTGTGAATTCATTTTAATCACACTTCATTTGATGGACTACTGTCTACTGTAGATCACACTGTTGTAAATTTCTCCTTGGCTCCCCTATAAATGAGGCAATAAGTTTAAAGAAATTTTTCATATAAGAATTTGTTTACAATATTTGGTCAAGAGAAAATTTCACTAAATATATTTCAGTTAGCAAATCTGGAAGCTAATTTCACTAAGTTAACTACTGAAAATCAAGACAGTCAACTAACTGGATGGCCCACAACTATACAGATTTTCCTAGGAGTAAGATCTATTTCTAAGTAGATATATATAGAATTGCACCATAAGATTAAGATTACTTGCATGTAACTTGACGACCGGTGCTTCTTGAGGGAGCAACCAGTTAGAAGGCCTTGTGGAGCTATCTGTCTTTCCTTCCTCTAACAAATATTTTGTGGTGAGGCAAAAATGGCTGTAGAAGCAGCAGGAAAACAAGGCAGAATTACATATGGCTGTCTGGACCCTTTGTAAAATATTCGAACCAAAGTGACTGCAAAATAAAAGCTTCACGGGAAGTAACTGATATCCACAAACCAAAATACTCATATAGAAGTTAAACTGAAACAATTTAAGACTGATTTCTTAGGAAAGTATTTAGAGATAGCAGCTTCAGTTGCACAGGAATAGATGAAACTACCGTAGATCTAATTTGTGGTTCAACTCAACTGAGCTCAGCTGTGTACGTACATTCAACTGCACCCTTTAGATCCTAAGGCTGCCTTCCTAGTAATTACAGGATATATTTCTGAGTGAACATGGATAACCAAATCTATTTGACACAAGTACTTCATAAATAGTTTTGGCTTATTTTCCAAGATTAGGATACAACTATCTTTATTAGCAAAAAACTGCCTTGAATCTGCTAGCTTTTTCTTGAAATCCACCAACAGTTTGGTGTTTCATTATGTAAATGGCAATGAGAATGCCACTTTTCCTAACTTTTGGGCATGAAACCTAGCCAGAATTGTCAAGGGCTTGTCAAATGTATTAAAGAGAAAAAGAATGAACATAAGGAAATATCTTCTTGAAAAAGAAAGCAAGCAACATATTATAAGGTAATAGCAGCTGCTGGTTAACCTGTAAAGTGAAACACGCCAAATACAGTGTTTGATGATTTCAAAGTACTGCTCCCACATTTGGGAACAAACAGCAGTTACTCCAAGAAGGCATTTTATACATTATCAAAGGCAATCTTACTCTATATCAATGTTCCCCAACCTGGTGCCTTCCAGATGGGTTGGTCTATAAATCCCAGTGTCTCCAGCCACTAAGGACCACCATCCAGAGTTGTAGTTCAACACAGCTGGAGGGCAGAGATTGGGGGAGGCTGCTCTGTGTTCTCAGAGTAGCTTTTAAAAATTACAAGCAAGTGTAAGCCCTATTAGTATAAAAGGACCTTGGTTCCACTGGCATAGCAAATACATTCATTGAGAAGTCTGCTAAAATACTCAAAGACAGCATGAATACTCAAAAGAAAACTTCCCTGATTTAATACAGGTCTTGGGCGTTAAGTCCCGTTAGGTTGCAAGTTTCATTTAAAACTATTTTTAGATTACAGGTAAGTGAGGTATTCTAGCGTTAAATTTCAACTTCAAATCAAGCCCCACAAATTGCGAAGAGAATCACCAGAGGAAGTTCCTATACCTTTAAGACTTACACCAAAGACACTTTCTCACCACTCCTAGGAACTTCTCCCGAAAAGCTACATTTGCCGCCCGATCCCGCGCCCGTTTATCGGTACGACCGAATTCAATGGAATTTAAAGTATGCATAAATCTGCCATTCTGGAAAAGTAAAAGGGCCGCTCTCAGCGAATTAGGCAGAAAAGAGTTGGAAGAGGAGGACGGGATGGACAAATCTGTTGATTCCCCATCTCTGCTTGCTGTGATACAGAAGCTTAGGGGTTCTTTTTAATCCAAAATCACCTGCCCCAGAAGTAGTAACCGCCCCGCAAAGCCCCACACCATTAACCGGGAAGAAAGATCAATTTAAATTGTTTTAATCTGTAGCCAAACTAAAAGTCCTTGCAACATCCTCCCAGAACCAATAACGAAAGGAAGGGGGGTTAAACAGCAATGCCCTCCCCTCCCCTCCCCTTGTACTCTCAAGCCCTGGGGAGCTCTCTGCAAAAAATCGTCCTAATCCTGAGGCCATGGAAGCCCCCCCCCCCCGCAACACCTTGTCATCTTTCCTACAACTGGGTCACCCTGGAACCTTAAAGAGGATTCGGAACTCACCACGGTTAGGAGCGAAGCCCTTTAGACGCAGCTCTCTCCTCCGCGACACCCCCACCAGAGGTTATCAAGGTGGACCTGCGGCCGCTTCTTCCCGAGTGACTGGCGGATGGCTGCAAGGAGCGGGAGCGACAAGCGGAGCCTCCCAGCGATCAACTCGCCTGTTCGCACGCGATGCTCTCCCGCTGCCACGGCGCGTACGGGACACTAGATGGCGCGCAAGAGCCAGCCTCCTCCATTATTACTTGCTTTGCAAAGCAAAGGCTAGAGAGATTCGGGGCGCACGTTTGGGCAGAAAATTCCGCCAGTTCCCAACAATACTGGCTAAAGAATGCTAGGAGTTGTCGGACATTCCTATGTCTAAACGGGAGGACTTTTTTCTGTTTAAACGTGTATAGAATTGCACCCTAAAAGAGTTGAAAACGGTCAAGAGGAATTAACGACTGTTACGGTACACTATAAACAGTCTTCATTTGTTCCATTATTGCCTTTGATCAAATAACGTTCTCAAAACAATAAAAATTGTCATAGCAGGCAAAGTAGGAGGTGTGTTCACCCCTCAAAAACCGACCTGCTTTTCAAACTACCTCCAACTCCTTAAGATACAGCTTTTGTTTTAACGGGCCTTGATTTTTCAGGCATTGCAGACTACCTGCATTAGGAAGAGAGGCCCATTTCAACCAACAATATTGGTTTAAAATAAATTGACATCAATCTCCATTAAAGATTTCAAGGTAGCACACAACCGATTATAAAAAAATCGACAATAGTAAAGAGCAGCACCGAAAAGATACACCAGAAATTAAATTACACCAAAAGCAGTATAAAAGACTGCCTGGCATAGAAACAAGATGAAGCATGTAGATACCACAACCCATAACAGCTCATTTCCCAGTTCTGCTGCTTCTCTGCATAAACAGGAACTCTCACAGAATCTTATGTTCTAGGTCTGAATAAAGCCATATAGGCACAATATGTAGTTAGGAACCAGAGCAATGTAAAAGAAGGGGTTGCATACATACAAGAAGGTAACATAATGAAAATAGGAACCAACCTGGTAAATGAATGGATGAATTTGTGCCAAAAGAATCAGCTCTGGAAAACACTAGCAGAGAATTAAAACAGAGTGGAGCCACCATGTTCAGATTAGCTATAGAAAGAATTCTGTATAGCGCAACAGCATTTGTTCTGCACTCTGGTTGCCTGTGATACCATTTTATGAAGTGTGCATAAGCATTAATAGAAAGCTAATTGTTTCCATTTAAAAAACCATACAAATATTAATATGTTCAGCAAACTCAAGACTGTTGTAAAATGTACTCCAAAAAGATTCTTTTTCTTTCAAAAAAAATTCACTGCCAACCAAAAATTTGTTACTAGGGCTGCCTTCATTTGTTTTTCTGACAAAGCTGTTGTGCCTCTAACAAAAACAAGTGTAATTTCACCCAATGCAATGTTTCTTAGCATGACAGTTATGGGGTTTCTATCATGGAGAGTTAAATGTATGGAGAAATTTGGTAGCCCTATTTCCAGTGGTGCTAGGCCTCTATTCTTAGAAATCAAATTTAATAAAAAGATACTCTCAGTTGCTCTGTCTTCTTCCTCAGACTTGATATCTGCTGTTGCTAAACACCACAGCCATACTTTATAGGCCTACTTAGAATAAACCAGCCAAGCCAAATTGTTTCAGCTTTTGAAGGAGAGTAGGGAATTAACCCCTCCCACACTTTAAAATTAACACCTGCAATTGATCTGAGGACATAACTGAAACAGTACTCACATTAGCTGGATATATAGCACAGATTTTTTCCCTGCCATTCTTAATTATATCTCTTAGTTGTCAATCCTGCTTGTTTCTCACCTCATAACAGTGTTAAAACTAATTGCTTTCTAGATTGTCCCAACACTAAAACAGCACCTGCATTGAATTGCACCATTTCGGAATGCAATTGTATAATTTTTGTAAGCCCCTTCCTTTTTCAAAATGAAAACTCCCTAAAATTAAGCAATGTGCAAAGATTATAGCTTAGCAGTTTTCTATTCACACCGAATAGCACCCGGAGCATTAAAAAAATTTCTGATTCTATACCTGAAATGTTGTAGGCTGTTCTACAACATAAGTATGCCAGTTCTAAGTCCTTGGTCCTCATGTTGCTTATTTTCTATCTTGATTGTTGCAATTAATTTCTTACTGGTTTTCAGTGATGATTCATCCTTGAGTCACTTCTTGCTATCCAATTGAAGTTTCTGGCAAGTGCTAAATGGTACAAGGTATCATTACTTTAAATGTGACTCTAATTATGTTTCCGGAGAAGCCCCACTGAATTCAACAGAACACAATTCCTAGTAAATATACCCAGGATGGTGGCTTTGGCTGATTCATCAGTAGGAGTCCATTTTAAATGCTGCAATATAAGAACACACTGGGTGAGGTGGGGTGTTAAGGCTATTTTTTATTCTGTTGTCTCATTATGAAGGGAAAAGAAAACATTAAAGATGGCTTTTCTTACTAAGTGATAGCCTTTGTTTCCAGAATGTAAGCTGGTTCAAAACTACATATATGTTGAGAACGTTGGTAGTATAAAAGTGTTTAATCCCTTCAAAGGTAGATGATAAAACAAGAATAAATCAGTAAACAAGAATAAATCAGACTGATCTAGTATTTTTACATTCAAGTATGCATAAATAGAAATCAGAATATTTAAGGAAGCAATTGCCTCTTGAAACTACATGAACTATTAGAAACATCATTATTTCCCTATCTTCATATAACTTGCTTAGTCATTCACAGTTTCTCTAAAGCAGAAGAGTCATGACCCCAGCTACAGGTTGTGGCTTGGAACTGGGTACAAGTCAAGATGTGAAGCAAGCCAAGATAGAAGTCAGAGCTAGAATTATGAGTCGACACATTATCAATTGAGGGGAAACCAAAGTCATATTCAAAAGTCAAGTTTGGTCAGGTTGTGGCAAGGTCAGGAGTAAGGCAAGCAGAAGAGAGGACAAGTACAAGCAGAGCACAGTATTGGAAACTAGTGTCACATCCAGTGCCAAAGAAACAGGTGCTAATGTCTAAAAGCAGGGCCAGCAAAGTATGGAGAAGGACAATAGTTTAGTAGTGGATCACATGCTGTGCTGGCTAAGGTAGCAAGCTTAATTTCCGACATGTCCCTGTAGGGCTGGAAAGGCTTCGACAAGTATCTGAAATCCTAGAGAGCCGCTGTTAGTTGGTGCAAATAACACTGGATTATATGGACAATCATAAAAGTTGCCAATTTTTTTTGTACCTTTGAGCACCTTTGGAAATGTGAGAAACTGCTGTGGGCAGCACCACAAAACGCCTAATCAGCAGGTCACTCTTTGTTTCATCTATGGATCTTAGGCTGGAAACTTATTGGATACTGCAAGATATCTTTACTAGGAGATTGTCTAATTCAGCAAATTGCTTGGCAGTGGAATACACGTAATGCTTCTTCTAGAAACATGTTTTGGCAATATCCAATAGTTGCTTCTCTTTCATAAGTTATTACAGTTTTTGCACTGGAAAAGACTTTAATATTCACTGAAGTGCATGCCTTTTAATTTTTCAACTTGTTTCACAGAAGTTAACAAATGGAAAGGGAAATGAACTCTCTGTGCCCCTTTGACTACAAAAAACAAAGAAAGATAAACATTAACTCCCTATCATGCAATGAAATGAGGGCCATACAAGGCTTTCAACATATGAGCAGGTGATATACAGACATCAACTTCAAATGGATACTTATTTGCATATTTGGTTGATTTTTATTTTGAAGCCTATGTATAATTGCTAGAAACACAAACATGTATTTCATACAAATCCGTAAAAATGGAAAACTAAAAAAACTTTTTTTTTTGTACAGGGTACCCACAGGCAGTGTGTTGGGCACCACTTCATAGGCATATCTTCTCTCCCTAGCAAAGGTTAATTGTATGTTTGGTAATTAATTAATTTTGCCATCGTTGCATACTCAGCCAACTTATTTTTCCAATATTCAATTGTTGGACATTCTGCCGTTTTCCATTTAGAAGCAATTGTAATTCTTGTTGCAGTTATCATATATTTAAATAACTCTGACATGTTCTTTAAAAGCTTATCTTATATTCAAAAGCATATTCTTAGGACTCATAGGAAAGTTAAAGTTTATAAATTTCTGCACGTATCAACTTCCAATAATTTTATCACAAGTCCACTGCATGTGATAAAAGTCCCTTCTACTGTTTTCCATTTCCCACATTTTCCATTATAGCTCTTGTCCTTTTTTTCCTATATCTTTTGGGGTAATGTAGTATACCACAAAAAAAAAAAAAATCTTATACCAATTTTCTCTTCATGTTTGACTGGCTGTGAATTTAATGTCTTTCTTCCATAAAGCTTCCCATTGGTGGGATAATATTTCTTCTCCAAGGTTCTGTGTCCAAATTATCATACATTTCTTAACTTGCTGAGTTTCAGTGTCAAATTGGAGTAATTGTTTGTGAAATCTTCCTAACAAATGATCCTTGCATTACATAATCCGCTTTTCAAATTCCATCAGGTCTCTTGTAGCACCTTTCCCTGTTTGGATTTCCTCTTTCAGTCTTGAAGCCACTTGGTAATAAACAAACCATTCTATATTTTCCCCTTCATCTAACTCATCCTTGTTGATCAATCTTATCCCCACAGGTTATAAAATCATTGTTTTTCCTTGAATGCTTTCCATATGCTTCAACTGGGGACATCAAAGGAGAAATCAAGGGGCTAATTCTTCTTACAGAATACCAACATTGTATTAAGCCATCTCTTAGATGGTTATTGTTTGATGTCAAGGCCTTTTTAACCAACTCTGGCCCATAAATCATTGTGCATTCTTTCTTTAAAATCTGCTATTTCTAGCTTTTCTATTATTGAGCTTGTTTGTTAATATGACTCACTTTCAGACTTTTACAGTGGCCCATGATGCAGGGTGTATATGCAGGGTATGATGTAAGCTTAAAGGGGCTCTCAGATACAGCATTGTGCAAGTGTTCACAGTGTGTTTAGATACTGGAAATCCAAATTCAAAG